TAGAATATCTTAAAATACTAGAGTTTCAACTTATCTGTCTCAGTGAGATATTTCCCAGGCTCATAACTTTCCTTGCCTACCTCAGCTTTTCCTAATGACAAAGACTGAGAGAGGTTCCTCTTTTAAGGGGCTTTGAGAGGACAGCGCACAGCTGAATCTTTAAGCACAGGCTGGAATCTTCTCCAGGGATGTATCTGGTGTACTGCAACTTTGCAGAACATTCTACAAGAATAGCGAATAGAAGGAAGCATGTGAGCAGCCTTAGTATTTGCAGTATTACTAGTACCATCTGACTTTGTTCCATAAAATCAGTCTTATTGTACACTGAGTTGAAGGTTTATTATGTCTACTAACCTTGTATCTACACTTATTGGTCATTTTATCAGGTTTTCCCACCATACAGGTGCATTTCATAGGGTTATAATTGTAGACTGTAGGTCATTGTTTTTTTTCAGCACAAATTATCAGCAATGTTCATCAGTGGAAATAGACCACCATAGGACCACCACTGACCAGACATTAACTGGGCAGGAGATCATTTAAGCATAGCAGACATAAACATGGTGGCATGGTGGCATGAGTTGTGCTGGCATGAGCGTTTGATTTTAAACAGTAGTCAGCATCACTGAGAATAGACACAGTGGTCAAAAACTGGCCGCTCATAAAGGAGTAGAGGATGACTAACTCAAATTCTGCATCAACAGACTCTAACTGGACAACAACAAGATGTATGAACAAGTTAGGTGTGTTTAATACATAAGTAATACTTTCTTTTACACTCCTTTGCATCCTAGGTGTTTATTAGGTGAATGTAAGGTACAAACTTCAAAGTACTAGATAATTATTTTGGGTAACATGATGGTAGGTTCCAGGGCAGTCTAACCAAATTACACTGAACTACCCAGTAGGTTCTGAATATTAACTGGGCAAGTATGAAGTACACACTCCACAGTACTGTGTAATTGTTTTGAGTAAACAACTACCAGGTAGTTATATGGCATAAAAATGTTCATAAATACAGTGCAAACACAACTGATTCCGGGCTGTAAGACAAAGCAATGATTCTTACTGTGGTTACACTGAGTCCTCAACATTTACTTCAGGAAACGATCTTTGGATTTTATGCCATGTTACATTATACTTACCTGATACCTTGAAGTGTTTCCGATTTACTTTCCTACTTTAACGTGTGATGTTACAGTGACATTTAAAGTGAGTATGTTTGTACTTACCACATTTCTACTCTTTTATCAGATTAATAGTTAGAACCTATTCTGCATTTCAGTGTAATTCAGTCACACTGTCTCAGAAATTATCATATAACCAAAAATAATTATCTCGTACTTTGGAGTTTCTACCTCATTCTTACCTGGTTAATACCTTGAACTTAGTGAACTGTAAAAGAAAGTGTTACAGTGGTCAGTAAGTGTACACAGTGTTTAAAGACTCCAGCAACACTGCTGTGCCTGAGACAGTCATAGCAGCACAACACACATTAAACATGCCATTACCAGGTCAGTATCACTGCAGTGCGAGAATGAGAATGATCCACCACCTAAAAAACATATGGTCACTGGTGGTCCTATGGTGGTCTCTTTCTATTGAAACTGTGCAGCAACAGATGGACTATAGACAGCAACTGTAAACCTACACTTTTAGCAACAATGGTTCTATATTTTTGGGTGGTATCTAAAACCATATTTTAAAAGGATCTTTAAGAAACCATATAAAGCAGGTCTTCCATCATGGAGAAGAACCATTTGACTTTATGAAGAAATTCTTTAAAAAAAAGGGTGTGAAGGGTCCACCTATGTGGTAGGTGTTTCTGATAAAATGGCCAATGGCGTAGACATCAACTGGCAACTCAATTTAGGTCAGAAATGTACCATAAAAAGGACATTTTAGTGCTAAATTGTGACATTATTTATGGAAGGTTAATGTACAGTAAGTAATCTCGCATGGTTGATAACCTCTCTCTTCTCATTAGGCTCAGTAAATACAGCTCACAGAAATGCTTAGTGGATCTTTTAGAAACACTTAGCCAGGAGAGAGAGCACACATAGGTCTGTGAAAGAGCAGCTAGCTTTGTGACATTATACCCCTGCAAGCACACACACACACGAACGAACACATACACTCAGTTTGTGGCTAGAATATGATGAGTTGCTCTCTGACAAGGGGTCAGTTGAAGCCAATATGCCTGCGGGACTAGAGCAGTTTGGCAGGGTGAGCGAGGATGGGGCCGGCCGCCCGCTGACTTCACCGACTTCACTGCAGGGAGAGCGTGAGGCCGTCTCGTTCTTGTGCGGTGGAGGACAAACCCTTTCTCATGGTTGGTTAGACTAATCACCGTGGGGACCTGCTCCCCCCACTTCCCAGCAGGCAGGTATCAGAACAGGAGATAGAGAGAAAGAGAGAGAGACAGACAGACAGACAGCCTGGGGTCTGCCATGGAGCACGGGAAGCTCAGGACCCTCCGGGACTGCTGCCTAATTGCCATTCTCCTCTCAAAGCATAGCATTTTAATGCCTTTTTAAGGACAGTCAGGCATGGAGGACATCCCTCACAGTGGTGAGTGTATAATAGAAGCCTCCCACTGAAGAGATGTACATGTTGTTTTGATTACTCTCACACTGATAGAGTTCAGGGATGAAAGTGCAGAAATGAAATTTGAAGCATGGTCTGGATTTCTAGTAAAATGCTCGGTAAAGTGCCAGGTTATAGATGGGAAACAGATAGCGGACCCTTACAGAGCGGTTTTCCTTGGAAAGCCATGCAGGTCTTTTTTCCGGTTGCGAGTCACACATCCTGTGAACAACCCAAAAGGGGAAATTGATAGAAACAGTCTTAATGCAGAACAAATACAGTTCGATTAAGAGTATTTGCGCTCTACTGGATGGTGAGAGCCATTGGTATTCGTCTCAGGAATTGGCAAACATTCTCTGCCCACAGCAAGGAGAATCTTATCATGGAGTCCTGACTGTGTCAACACTATTAGATTCCGACACCTCGCATAGAGTCAGAGATTAATAACTTCCATGTAAAGGGGAAAATGGGAAGGGCGAAGGTACGGGAGCGATTAACGAGTGTCAAAAACAATGAGTCTCCCATTAAACGGAACACCATTGCACCTTCACACGGTGGACGGAGGAATACGCGCTCTGAAGCCCTCTAGGCTCTGATCTGATCTATTTTTATTCAAAGATATTCAGCCTTCCAAAGATATCCTTCAGGAAGGCTTCAGCAGCTTATGCAAGAAGACATCATGTCAATAATCCACTACTATAGCACTGTGGTGTTATATCATTGTACGGTAGATCTTGTCATATCAAAAATCAGCGAATGCTATTACTCTTTGTGCTTATTAGTATTAACATATGCTTATTTATTTGTGTATCAGTATTGTAAAGTATTACAAGTAAATCAGTGGCACTTTGATCTCCTGAAAAGAGGTCTGAAATTGAACTATTGAACTCATCCACCTTCATGCAATTTAGATTTGGTTGCATACAGGCCATGAATTAAGTGTACTTCAGTGTATTTCAGTGTACTGTCTCAGTTATTAGCTTATAATTCAAGTTACATGGTCTCCAAATAGACCCGCCATTATGCATAGAGCTCTGAGGTTATGCACCAATATTTAGCATGGTTTATAACAAACTCCAAGTCTACATATGCTATGAGTAAGCAAATACTCCTGCACACTGAAATGGCATTGCATGAAAATTGCAAGTCTTTTACTGTAATCTATTCTATAACAGCAGCTACTCAAGCGATAGGCTACTTTTGCCAAAGCAACTTGACCAACACATTTGGCAAAGCTTGCCAGGTTTGTGTGATGTATTTAGGCAAGGTTAATATCAATTCAATGCGCAGCAGTGTTAACTTGCCTATAGCAGCAGTCATATTTTGACTATTTGACAACTACGTACTTCAAAGAATCCAGTGATATTCACAGGACAGTTGTATGTAGGACATAACTTATCAAATTTAGAACATACACAGGGTGCGATATTCAAGAATGCCATTCATTTTCTCCCACAAGTAAAAAGGCTTAAACCTGAGTTTTTTCTTTGGGCATGTAACCAACTACTAAATGATGACACAATTTCAGTCTATTACAGAAAAGTTATTAATAGGCCAAGTCATGGGATTAATTAACAGAAGGAGTCAACATGATGTCAACAATGAATAATTATTACTATTATTACTATTATTATTAATGATACCATCGCCATTATTACTATTAATATATGGATTGGATACTTGAATATCACAATTAGTCAAAATACACATCCCTACAATTGTTAATGTATACGCTTCATTATTTCCTGATGTGCTAAGTATAAGCCTATGTATTAATTCACCTTGAAGTAAGCATTAGCATAATACAAATTCATTCATTACACTTATTTATTTGGGTTCTAAAGTAATACCCTTTATGTATATCTCCTTTGCTGCTATGCAGACTCCTGCCATTGAGCCTATTTTGTCAAAGTTTCAGAAAAGACTTTGGCGCTATGATAAAAGACACTGTTGTGCTTTTTCTTTGTCACATTTCTGTGTGGCAAAAAAACTTTACTGGTGTCATTTTAGTCATTAGCCTCACCTCATCCTTTGATGTTCTGTGTTCACATTGACTCTGAAAGGTTGAACTTAATTATTCAGGCGGGGTTTGCAAAGAGATCTATACAGATGGCAGATGCTCTAAAATATCACCATTATGCTGCTCATCAAGCCAGCATATATGGCAGAAATGCATGCAAAGCAGACGGTTCGGCATAATGAAAGGACAAGCCATATGCATTCAGAACACAAGCTCCTTCCAAACGGCCTGACAGGAGGAAGAGCACTGCATCAAGACACAGCACTCAAAAGTGAACAGGGCTAGATTAAAGAAATGTCTCTCCTGGATAGCATGTTCTTCTGCTATAGCCCGTCTAACCTATTGTTTTTTTCTTTCTCTTTCTGTCCCTCTTTCTTTCTCTTTCCTCTTTCAGAGGCAGCAACGAAAAACAAAGCGAAAGGTGAGTTGTCTTCTCTGTCTTTGCATCCTGATGATTTATGTTGAACACACTTCCCAATAAACAATACTCCGATCGGGCTCCTCTTATCTCCCAAAGGAGCTGGGATGCATTTACATAGTATCTGCCTGCGGGAAGGCAAAGCAGGGATGTTTGATAAATTGGCCTGGGGAATATCCATTATGAACCGAATCAGCTCTGTACACTTTTTTTAGCTTTACAACTAGCCTGGTGGCGTAGTCGACTGCGCGAGGAGAAGAATGGCACTTTTGGATTGCAAGCGGGGGATGATCTGAGTTGTTGTTGTGTTTTGCAATCTTATAAGATGAAAATCAGTTTGGAGGATTGCTTACAGGCTTGTTATTCTGTCTCTTCCTCTCAGTTTAGTCATTGCAGATTCATGCTTCTGGTCAGGCCCACGTACAATCTTCAGTCTGACTAATGTTTTCAATTGCAGTTTAATTACATACCTGCCATCCAAATTTAAGCCCGGTATCATAAATTGACAGCTCATTTTGAATGAAGTAGTTTTGTGATGTCACAAAAAATCGACACTTTTACATATGTCCACTAATATACTACTACAGTCTGGCCCACCCATTCACATTAAAGTTATAAGGAGTGTTTCAGACTGGAATGCTTATTGAGTTTGTCACAACAAAGGGTAGCCAATCAGAACCACAGTCATCCCTATACAGTGCAGTGTAAAGTCAAAGACCACCTGTCAAATATTTAATCTCCAGCCAGTTTTTGTTTTTTAGTTTTCTGGTTTTTAACATCTGGAAAAAGGCAGAAGACATATTTTTAGCAGAACTTACGCAGACCTAAATATAAGTAAACTAAATATATATCATTTTCAGTAAAAGCTTTGCCTTTTTTTACAGCTTACATTAATTGCAGGACTCTTGCTTTTAGTTTTTCTTAGAAATCTGCAGGGATATTTTTTCCACACCTTCAAAGTTCAGTTTTAGAAGTAGCATTTTCTGCTCCTGATCCATGTAATGCAAATTACAAATTTAATCTCATCAGTCCATTAAACCTTACTCCTCATCTCACATGTAAATGATGGATGGTCTCTGTCATTTGCCCAATACTGTATATCAGTTTTATATCAGGAACAATAATAAAGAAAAAGTTTGTTTAAGAGATAAAAAAGGTTAGAAAATACACAGGTAAACAAAATTATGACTGTTGCTGGTGCATAAACCCAAACACAGTCATCTTCCTCAGGGGGAAAAGAAAGGAAAAATGTAGGAAATGTGCCCTTTAATTCAACACTGGTGAATTTACGTTGTACACATTAGCCTGGCTATCTAACAGGAGAAAACAGTGTCAGTTTAGAAAGAGCATTTCTACAGGCTGTATTCATATACCAGGATATATCCTACTACTTTCAGCAAATTGCACCTCATGCTCTTCTAGGGATATGAAAGCAGTTGTTGATAAGTTGAGTGGAATTGAACACAACAGCAGGTCATCTCCAGCAATACAAAAGCTCTCTTAGCTTTATTTTGCACCATGTGGTCTCATGAATAATATATCTTTGTTTTCAACACTACATGGAGAGGATTTTTTGAATGATTCGTCTGAATGCTAAGATGTCAAGAAGCAGGACAGTCAGCTTTATGTTTATTTGAATAAGGACAAGATTCTTGGGTGCAGCTTGCAGTCAGACTTTAATAGCTTGATCAGAATGGCATGTATTTTAATATTTATTTTCTGAAAATGGATTTAGTTCATGGTAATAGGAAATGTATCTCAGAATTGCTATATTGTATGATTCTGTCTGTCTGTGACCCTCTCTCTTTCTCCATTTTTCTCTCTCTTCCATCCCACTCCCATAATCAACCTATATGATGAACTCTATCCCATTGTGTTCTCCCTTTGATGTTGGAGTATCTCCAGCACAGACCCCAGAGTACCTCTAGGCTGTAAACCATCAAACTTATAAATAACTTACAGGCAGGAGACAGTGTCCATTATCCTTTTTCTCCATCCAATACTGTTCTATAGAAAATCCATATCTCAGGTAATGGAAAAAATACACCAGAGATCGTTGACTTGGAGCATGGGGTCTTCTCCATTTTCTTTTCAATGGAATCTATATTCTTGATTCAAAACTGAGATAGGCATATGTAGTACTCACGTTTGGCTAGTGGAATTACAATTTCAACGTCACTTTTTGGTACGCAAGAGACTCATGATATGTTCTCCACTCAGTGATTCCACAAAACAGAGAAAGTGTGTGAAGCCTGCCACCTTTAACTCCCCTTAAAAGGCTTTTAGCACTGGCCCAAACTGCACTTTTGGGAAGTGTGTCTGGGTCTGGCTGCATTTTGCGGGGGTGTCTAGAGTGCTTTTAAACCACTGAGCTATTACAGTTCAGCTGCATGTCATTGCTGTGTCTAGGCACCCACTCTTTAAAGGGAGAAAAAGGCACTCAAGGGCTTTATGCTAAGAGGTGGGAAATTCATTCCCTGTTCTGCTGACTCTTACCACCCATGGCGATAATTTAGCCAGGAGGACAGTACGCAGCCTTGGCGCTAAAAAAGATGTGTGTGTGTGTTTGTTTGTGTGTGCACACCAGCTCTGGGCTCACCACTGTGTGAGCGCAAAGCTCTGAATACAATCTGGACATTCCGCAGCAAGCAACAGCTGCTGCTCAGCCTTACATGCAGACAAGGGCTGCCTCAATACCAGAAATTTTATCACCAAAATGATACTGTGGCAAAAAAGTAAAATGTCAGGCTCAGAAACACAATAAAATGTGTGCCCTGGTGTTCCTACCCAAACATAACATTCCTAAACAAAAAAAAAACAAAAAAACAATCACATTCCTTTTTTCTTTTTACATAGGCTATATGTAGGCCTATTATAATGAAAAGCATATAATTGTCTAAAATGTCTTTGTATTTTGTGGCATTAACATTAAACTTCACTGTAACTAAGGGGCTGAGCCCAAATCCTGTAAAAAAAAACACCCAGACCATTATCCCTCCTCCACCAAACTTTATTGTTGATTTTGGTAGTTAGCATTCTCCTGGCATGGTCTGTCGCTTCATGGCTGAGCTGTTGTTGCTCCCAGACACTTCTTTTTCACAATAATAGCATTTACAGTTGACCAGGGCAGAACCAGCAGGGCAGAAAATTCAGAAAATGATTTGTGGAAAAGGTAGCATCCTATGACAGTGCCATGTTTAAAGTCACCAATCTTCTCAGTACAACACATTCCACTGCCGATGTTTGTGTGTTAGGATTGCATGGCTATGTGCTTGATCTTATACACATGTTAACAATGAGTGTGGCCGAAATCCCTGAACGTAATAATTAGCAGGGGTGTCCACATACTTTTGGCCATATGGTGTAGCTATAAGCCCCTAATAGATCTATGCTATCTAAGCACAAGCAGACCTTGTTATGTGTCTAATGCAGAGATGAACATAATGAGGTTTATGTTGAGAAAACATTTATAGTAAGCTCAACTTATCTCAATGAATTCATGAATTTTGTAGAGACAAAAAAGCTGGATATGCTATAATTGGAGCTACCTCCTTCAGCCACTGACAGTCAGCTCTTGAAATACTGCACAGCATAAAATCATACACTGAAAAAAGCATGCAAGACATTTGGGAGTTTGGAGGTAAGAAGGACTGAAGTGAAGTAGATAAGTGTGCTTTGGTCCAATAAATGAAATTTTTAAATTCTTTTTGGAAATTATGGATGTAGTGTCCTCTGGGCTAAAGAGGAGAGGGGCAATACCACTTGTTATCAGCACACAGCTAATAAGCATGCATGTGATGGTATATGGTATATGGTGCATTAGTGCACATGGGAGACTTGCACATCTGTGAAGGCACCATTTATATTGAACGATACATAGAACTTTTTGAGCAACATATGCTGCCATCTAGACACCGTCTTTTTCAAGAAAAGGCCTTTCTTATTTCAGCAAGACCATGTCAAACCATATTCTGCATGTATTATAACAGCTAAAATAGATTGGTGTACTAAACTGGCCTCTCTGTGGTTCAGACCTGTGATCCATTGAAAACATTTGCTGCATTATGAAACAAAACAAATATGACATAGGAAATCCTGAACTTTTGAGCAGCTGAAATCCTTTACATCCTCAGGCAAGGACGAAAAAAACATTTCATTTTCAAAGCTACAGCAATTGGTCTCCTCAGTTCCCAAATGCTTACAGAATGTTGTAAAAGAAGAAGTGATGCAACACCGTGGTAAACATGCCAATGTTCCAAATGTTTTGAAACGTGTTGCTGGCATCAAATTCAAAATGGGCATATATTTTTCAAAAAACAATAAATTTCTCAGTTTCAACATTTGATATGTTGTCTTTGTACTATTAGCTCGTTTAAAGAGCTTCTCTCCCTCTACTGTGCACTGTGGATGTGGATGTCTGGTTCATTTGGGCAGCATGTGCTGAGCTCTTTCTGCATAATTTGTTAGCTAATCTAATCTAGCCAACAAATGATAATGTTGCTCAAATGATTTGTCATCCATCAAAGCCACATAGCCTCAGTACTATTAACTAGCAAATGCTAACAGTGCTTGCATAACTGTCTAAGTTCCTACTTCCATTAAACACTAACACTTGCCACCGCAGTTACTGTAATCATTCCCAGCTGAACTTAAATTTACCTGTATAAAGCCATATCTCTCACAGATTCAACGTCCAACTTCTGGCAGAAAATAAAAGCTTTGAAAAAGAACAGCCCTGCTGCCATAAAGTAGTTTACATTACCAAAGCTATGCCACTGTCAATCACTGTGTATCTTTAGCAGCCTGTCATATTCTAAAGAGAATATTAACAGTGAGATGGGGGCATATAAAATAGCCTAACATGCATTACACTGTGTTTAATACATAATAGACTGTAGCTTATGTTGTTTCTAGGATAATGAGGTCACATTCTTTTCACCTGTATTTAGAAATGCTAATGAGCACATCTCTGCCCATTCGGGTCAAATTAGTATGCACAGATT